GTTGAAGGGTTGGACGTGGTAAACATAATGGGTCGGTGTGAGGGGAAGTCGGCTGTGTGACACAGTTTGTGTATTGCACAAGACGGACCGTTGTTGAGTACAAGCAAGCAGTGTAGAGGATCACCGGATGAAAATTTATCGTTAGTCCGATAAATCAAGACTCCTAACTCGCGAGAACTGGTCATGTGTGATACAAATTGTCCAACTCACTCGTGAATAGTATTACACTCACTGGTAACTACTGAGACACTCATAGCACCATCTCCATGCACTGATGGAGTGTTGATTATAATACGGACTCGAGTCTTGAGTGGGCAGCAGTACTGTGTCAGTGTCGGAGGTATTCAAATTAGTAGACTCCCCTCTCCTTGCCATCCTTTATGAGCAGTCCGCAGTCTACACCCCTGCTGAGCTCTTCGTTCGCCCTCCGCTCTGGTCCATCGCCTTTCCAGCCAGAAACTGCAGCTTTGGCTGCGGCTGAGCGGGTAAGTCCTCATGGAAGAAATCTTCGTCACGCATGCCTGCGACCGGTAGCATCGTAACATTGGTAGGTCCTCAGTGCTGTCGCACGGGGTGATATCGAGACAGTCGAGGAGGAAGTTGGCAAAGAGGTGAGAATCTTCTGAGTAGATCTCCTATCCGGAAGCCTATCATATCCGTGATACCAGTCGGCTTTGGGAGGCGTCCGTGGCGTGTACAATTCTCGAGGGCAAGCATGTATGCATATAGCAGCAGCCTATGGCAAAACGAAGATGATTGAATGGTTGGCTGACTCAGGATGCAAGTAAGTCATTCGTCCGATTGCTAGTAGATGTTTCCATTGGAAGCCTTCTAAGTCGTGGACTCACGGTATAGTTGTCTCCTGGTTTCAGCCCATCGGAGTCTTTGGCTCACGTGGGAATGACACCCCTACATCTCGCCGTTCTGAATGGAAGAGCTGACGCTGTCAGAGTGAGTACTCAGAATTTCCGAATTGGACCATCTAGATTCGGTCTGATGGTTTGTGATTATGGTCATCACGCGGTATCCGTTCTGCTTTTATATCGGTGTTCTCGCAGGAGCTTATCAAGGCTGGTGCAAATATCAACTCCAGGGACAGTCATGGGATGACCCCTCTGACTTGTGCAACTCTACCGACCGAGTCTCATGTCAAAGAAATTGAGATAGCTCGTGCAGCGTGCAAGAAAATATTGTTGGCGAATGGTGCTAGGTGAATTCGATCGATTTCATGGCTTTGAACTTTTGTTTGAGTTCGATAGTCATAGTACACACCAGAGGGGAAGCAGCCTCTAGATCTTGTGAGAATGGCATTTTTGCATATTACCACCATGAATGGAAGGCCTGATGCTGTCAGAATGAGATCTTGGGTTTCCGCTATGAGTTTCACTCTGCCAGTTTTACACTGCGAGGATCAGGAGATTGAAGGTCTTCTTCGTTGTCTGCTGCGTCAAGATCACCTCCATTTGTGTGAAAGCCTTTACTTATCGAAACTCTACCGATCGAGTGTAGTGTGATGAAATTGATATAGCTAGTGCCGTGTGCGAGGAGATAGAGCTGGCGGAGAGTACTAGGTGATTCCGTCGATTCCGACGTAACTGACTCATTTCACGGGCTTAGGAGCCATCAAATCCCACCGGCTTCTCATGGGGAAGAACAGTATCTACGAGGTTGTCTTGCTCTAGATCTATGGAGAAGGCCTGCAATCGGAGGATCCCCAGATCGAAGGCCGGCTTACTCCCGGGTACCTCATCGACGAGTTACTTCGATAGGAAAGCCAACTTCAACCCTCAGAGTGAAAGCCTCAATCACTTGTAACCGGCGGGTTCCACCAACAACAGTTGTAGTTCTGATGTGTAATCTCCTTTATTATGATACATATATTATGTTACACTTCCCGCTTTCTAGAACTGAACGCAACTAATAACCGCAAGTGCATAGGTATGACAATGTTCAACAACTCGCTATCAAACGGAATTCCCGTGTTGATAGTCTTCACGAGTGAATCATGTTGCATGGAAGCATCAACAGACGCCAATACGAATAACAACTCGATAGCATGCTACTGCTCAACGGACCAGTAGGGACGCTTCTTACGCAACCTAGCAGCTAATTTTCGTAGCCTAGCAGCCAGCTTCAATCCCCAGTCAGCCTTCGCCGAACGCGCTCTATTCTCGTCCTCGTCATCGATTCTGTCGGCAAGCACCTCACTGGTCTCTACCGGACGCTTTAGGAGATTGAGAGCACCTCCAAATTTCGGAGTCGGAATGAATGAAGGGATATCGGGCGTTGATGGGATGGAAGGAATAGTAACCTTGGGGAGGGTGACTGGTGGTAATGTTGGAATAGGGGGAAGATCGACCTTCGGAATAGTGATGACTGATGGCACCGTAATTGGAGCAGTGGGGATCAATGTAGGATCCGGTGTTGTAATAGGAGCATCAGTTATGTTTGCGGCGGTAATAGGAGACGTAGTGGTCGTAGTGCTGGCGGTCGTGCTACGAGTTGTAGTAACCGTAGTAGTCGTTGACCTGGTAGTTGTAGGTGTACTAGTCGTTGTGGGGGCCCTCGTAGTTGTAGAGGTAGGTCTAGTCGTGGTAGTACTGCTCGGGCGGAGTGTCGTAGTTGTGACACGTGTCGGACGGGAAGTAGTACTACTTTTGGATCCGCATCCCTGAAGAGCGATAGCGCAGAGGAAGCAAGCGAGGGCAGTCGTGTAATGCATTGAGGATCTTGGAAAGATAAGAGGCCTAAAACAAGTATCCTATGTTTGTCGCCTGCAGCTGTGGTTAAAGTAGGTTTGCGATCATTGAAAGCTTCGATTTTAGGGCGAGCGATACTAATTTTGGGTGAACGCGAGATCTTTCAGGGCGAACGCGAGAAACTCTGATAATTCTCGCTGAGAAGCACCTTCTGGGTTCTCTCGAAAGAGCAAGGATGCTCTTTCATCGGGCTAACGGGAAATGATTCGGAATCCTCGTCGCAAATGACAGTGTAATTTACTTGGTCTTCGATAGACAAGTGCGAGATGTTCTTTCGGATGCTTCTCCCGGAGGAGAGTCTCCCAATTTGGTGACGATTATCCTACCGCAGTATGAGAGTGTGCAACTTTCATAACGATATAAGCCTCTCAAGGGTAAGGCGTTTGATTTTGCTTCTCATAATAAGGATGTGATAACTTGTCGAAGGTCTTGTAATCGTAGTATTTCATTTCAAAACAGTTATGTCCGTCAAAAGCCGCGTCTCGATCATTGTTGCCGATATAACAAAACTGGAAGGAGTCGAGGCAATTGTCAATGCAGGTAGTGCGATGCATATATTCGTGGGGGTTTTCTGGTGAGCCAACTCTCACAACTTATCTGTAGCTAACTCGTCCCTTCTTGGTGGTGGCGGTGTTGATGGCGCAATCCATCGAGCGGCTGGTCCTGAGCTCAAGCGTTATTGTGAACACGAATTTGAAGGCCCTAAGAGATGCCCCACGGGAGAGAGTAGGATAACTCCAGCATTCAATCTGAAGCATTGCCAGCAGTAGTAAATGTGGTGTCTCATATTGACTCCTCGAATGCGCATGCTGATCAGTGTCATCCATACTGTTGGACCAGTTTGGCATGGCGGGAACAGGAGGGAGCCAGAGTTATTGAGGAACTGCTACCGAACGTCACTCCAGCTGGCTACAGAAAACGATGTACGTGGGTGGTGGTGCCTAGGGGATCGTACGGTTGGTGAGAATTATTCTATGCCCTACAGAGAAATAATTTACTATCATTTGGGTTGATTTTGTCGGGCAGGCAATTTCGACCCACGACTTTCTCGTAGGGAGTGGTTGTACTAAGGAATATTATCTTGGGGTTGTGGCATAGCCGCCCCTCTCATAGAGATTGATTGTACTAAGGCATTTCTTTTAGGGGTGTTGGCATAGCCGCCCCTCTCATAGAAATTCACCGTACTAAGGCATTTCTTTTAGGGGTGTTGGCATAGCCGCCCCTCTCATAGAAATTCACCGTACTAAGGCATATCTTTTAGGGGTGGTGGCATAGCCGCCCCTCTCATAAAGATTGATTATACTATGACAATTAAGATGTGTACAACTCTAAAATATGCGTGCTGCAGTTTCTATATTCACCGCTATCCGTGTCTGATCATTTAATGATAGAAAATTAAGTGAAGACCACAGTGGTCTATGGGCGCCAGCAATTGTGCTTATGATGATCGTTTTGACTTCAGATTGACTCGATTGCTTTCCCTGGTATATCAACTGGCATATACGGCTACCCTCTTGATGCAGCATCGCATGAAGCTGGTATTAACAAGGCTGAGCTTATCTCTTTATTTTAAATGTTCTGGCTCAGTTGGCACAGTCTTGGAATACCTCAAATCTCATAGTAAACCCTCCAAGGTCGTATTCTGCGCCTTCGCCGAGGAGAATGCCGATAGCCTCAAAAGAGCCCTCGACGCGAGTACTGATTGAGAGATTGCATTGGATTTTTCTGGACACATTGCGCATTTGTGTTAACAGTAGGCCAATACTAGTAGACTCCTGACGTGATCGGTTCGAGGTGCGGTATAAAAGGCTACCCGTCATTTGCAGTAGTTCGTCCATGACCTGGAGCTGCTGGGAATTGTCTGTATGTTTGTGACTATGTGTTAATTGAGTCGTCGAGTGTCTGGTGCGTCGAATTCTCAACTATTCACTGAGTACCATCTACTGTCTGCTCGAGTCTGTTTGAATGCTTTTTTCCAGCTACCACTCAGTAGTCATATATTATGTTCATTTTCGAAACTAGGATGGAAAGTCTCTTATCAGAGAATTCCTCTTTCAGGAAAAACAGCATCACAGCTTCTCTGTAGGTGGAAACCATTTTGATATTTTCTGTTCACGTCTCGATTTCTTGAATCAGCCAGCATAGGACGTTCGAGAATCCGTCCTCTCCATGCACATACGTGGCACGTGTAATCGCAGGTTAGTTTCAAATCCTTAAAATGGACGTACGTGGAACAGACGACAACTGTGAGAAGATCATCGATGATGTTTCGAGCAGCTCTGCCACCCCCGTGGACCGCCCTTCATCTGAGATGGAACGCCACGGGACCATACTCTCAGGCTGGTCAGTCATGGCAAACAGCATGATCGGCACTGGCGTTCTCGGGCTCGCCTCGGCCTTTGCCAAAACCGGTTGGCTCCTTGGCTTCGTTCTTATGTCCGGAGCCGGCTTTCTCGCGCTATTCAGTCTACACCTTATGGTCCTCCTTTCGATGAAGTTCGTAGATCGTGACGTTACCTACTATACGGTGGCCGCAGCCTATGCCCCTTGGTCCAGGTGGATTGTTGATGTCACTATCGTTGTCAAGTGTTTCGGTGTTGCAGTCTCTTATTTGCAAGTAGCGGGTGATGTCTTGTCCACCCTGTTCATCCACTGGAGCTCTACTACGATGAGCCCTTTTCTTCTTAGAGCCTTTGTTATTGGTGCGTCGGGGCTTCTCATGGCACCAATATGCACGGCAAAGGAGGTTAAGAACACATTAATCACGAATGTATTGGCTGTTGTTACCATCGGATATTGTGTCGTATTAGGCATTGCCTATGCAGATGTCCATGCCGGAGACGATAGTATAGGCATCCCGCAGGAGTCCTCCATTACCTCAGTACTGGCCAAATTGCCGATTTTCATATTCGCTTTCACTTGTCACCAGAATATGTTTATCACGAGGAACCACCTAAAGCATCGAACCCAGAGGCGTCTAGACATCATCATCGTTGCCGCGGAGTCAACGGCCGCGCTACTATATATCCCGGCTGTCATATTTCCCTATCTCACTTACGGTTCCGCCGCACAGGCGAACTTTATGCTTAATATTGACCTTGGCCATGTACCGGTGCAGATTGGTTACATCGCCCTAGCTATCGGGGTTTTATGTTCTTATGTCCTCCAAGTCGTCCCTACTATTCGATCCCTGATTGTCTTAGTAACGCGTGATAGGGAAGTTCAAAGCCCAGTCAAGAGTCGTCTGTTGTTCTACTCGGTGGCCATACTATGTCAAGTGGCTCCTATTATAACCGCTATAGCGGTGAGATCATTGGGTATCACATTCTCGTTCGTGGGCATTATTGGTTCAAACACGATATCATACATCATGCCATCCTTCT